CCATTCCTTTTCATTCTGGATATTATTTCTTAACCAAAGCACAATTGATATTTTGTGCCAGATAATGATTTGTGGTAGGGAGCTGTACTTTGCATTATAGGATGTTTAGCAGCATCCCTAGCCTCTACCCACTAGATGCCAGCAGCACTGCCACCCCAGCTATCACAACTAAAAATGTCTCTAGGTATTGTCAAATGTCCCCTGGGGTTGGGGGCAGCATCACCCCCAGTTGAAAACCACCGATCTTGGGGAAATTAACTAAGTTTCCTGTGCTTTTGCTCACTCATCAGCAAACTTGGAATTAGTAATACCAACCTTATAGATTACTACCTTATTAATATAGGTATTAATAATACCAACCTTAATTCCAATTAACTTGGAATTAATACCAACCTTAATCCTAATATCATGGATAGTATTTGTGAAGCACTTACTGCCTAGACCACGAAAAATATTCTATATTTACTCAATAAAATGGCATTGAACATTTTTCATCTCTATGTTTTATCCATTAGACTTCCATGCCCCTGTTTTTCCAGTTCAATGATCTCAATTTCAATTTTGTCAATATTCAGCCTTTATAACCATTGCAACCATGTAATTACTCAAAACTGAGTTGCATAGTGTACTTGTATTATATTAATTTTCTTGTGCTATTTTATTTTCCTTCTAGAGTAAATAACTGTCCTTTTTTGTTTGCTTGCTTGGTTTTCTGTGTACCTAAATATCCCTAAACTATCAGAAACATTAATCTCCTCTCAAGAAGGTTGGCAAACAAACAAGTTTTTCCATTTCAGGGACTTTCTTATTAGAGCTTTGCATTCTCCTACTCCAATATGTACTTGTTCTTTAGGCCTGCTGCATAGATGTCATTCTGGAATTTCTTTGTACCCTTGTTCTGGGGATTCTCTTTACCTTTATTGTGTGTTTGATCCTTTATTTCTGAGTCTTATGTCCTTTTCCTTCTAGTTTGCTCCTTTGATTTAATGGAATACATCTTTCATTTTAATTAAAAAAAATTTTTTTTTTGAGACAGGGTTTTACTCTGTCACCCAGGCTAGAGTGGAGTGTCACCATCACAGCTCACTTCAGTGAGCTCAGGCTCAAGCAATCCTCCTACCTCAGCCTCCCAAGCAGCTGGTATTACAACTGTGCACCATCACATCCAGCCAAATATTTTCTGTAGAGATGGGTGGTTGCGGGGGTTGTCACTACGTTGCTCAGCTTGTCTCAAATTCTGGGCTCAAACACAAACCTCCCACCTCCGCATCCCAAACAACTGGGATTACATGTGTATGCCACTATACTGGGCCTAAAAATGCATTTATACTACATATAATATTGGAAATTATTTTCCCTCAAAATATTAAAAGGAGCGCTCTATTGTCTCTGGACTTTCAGAATTGTAGCTGAAAAGTCTAGTTCCTGAGTTTTTTAATGTAAATTGTTTTCCCTCAGTGGAAGGTTTGGGATCTTTATCCTAAAACTTTTGTCTGGTGCTTAGACATTTCACAATAATTAACCTAGTATAGGTCTTTTAAAATCATGCTGGGCACTGGAAATTCAGGTCTTTCAGTTTAAGAAATTTTCTTGCATCATAACTCCATTAACTACCTGCCTCACCCCCACCCTAGTATAGTATCTCTGTTCTCTCTCTGTGGTGCTACCATTAATCAGATGCTAAATCTCTAATTTTCTTATGCTTCTTCTTGCTAATTTTATCTTATTGTCTTCCCCCTTGCATTTTCTGAGAAATATCTTAGATGTCATCCTTCCTTTTTCCACTGAATTTTTATGTCCTATTTTTAATATACAGGAGCTCTTTCTGGTTCTTTGAATGATTCTTTTAAAAACACACAGTATTACCTGGGCATGATGGCTTGTGCCTTTAATCACAGCTACTCAGGAGGCTGAGGTGAGAAGATCACTTGAGCCCAGGAGTTTGAGGTAGCAGTGAGCTATGAGCGTCACTGCACTCCAGCCTGGGCAATATATAATACACACACACACATGCATACACACACAATATTATGTTATGTTACCTGGCATACAACATCTTCTTTCATCTCTTTGAAGGTGACAGTGATACTTTATTTACTTCAAATGCTATTTTTTTCTGTTTATTGTTATCTTCTCTCTCACATTAGAGGTTTCCCTCAAATGACTTGTGATCTTTGTCTACCCTTTTGTGTTTAAGAATGAGTTACTACATCATAACCCCATCATACATCATGGAGTGTATTTGGTTATGATGTAGTAACTCATTCTTAAACACAAATGCAAGGTTGCTTTACCATTTAAAAAGTAATCAATGTAACTCAGCTTATCAACAGACTAAAAACAAAACAAAAACAACATATGATCTCTTGTGTCATCCCCTCCCAAAGCATTTGAAATAAATGTAATAACCATTCAAGATTCAAAAAAAAGAAAAATAAAACTCAGCAAATTAGGAGTAGAAGATAACGTCCTCAACCTGATAAAGGATATCTACAAAAAAAACTAGAGCTAACATACTTAAAAATGAAAGATGTTTATTTTCTTTTAAAAATCAGAAACAAAGAAAATACATTTGTTCTAACAACTTCGGTGTATTAGTCAGGGTTCTCCAGAGAAACAGAACCAATAGGATGGATCTCTCTCCCATCTGACTCCATAATCCATATTGTAATATCAAATATCCATAATACCTGAGATATTAGAGGAATTGGCTGACATGATTATGGAGGCTGAAAAGACCCACAACCTGCCATCTGCAAGTTGGAGACCCATGGAAGAAAGTGGTATAATTTCAGTCCGAGTCCGAAGGCCTGAGAATCAGGGGAGAATCAGTGCAAATCTTAGTCCAAGGAAAAGAGAAGTCCAATGTCCCAGCTCAAACAGGCAGACAGGAAGAAAAGGAGGGAGTTTATCTTTCCTGTCGTTTTGTTCTATTCAGGCCCTCAACAGATTGGATGATGCCCACCCACACTGAATCCACTGATTCAAATGCTCATCTCATTCAAATACATCCTCATAGACACATGCGGAAATAATGGTGAATTTGTGTACACTTTGGCACAACCAAGTTCACACATTAACCATCATATTTCGTTAAATCATATATTAACTGCCCTGTTCAGAGCAATGAGGCAAGAAAAAGAAATAAGAGATATACAGATTATAAAGGAAGAAATAAAACTATCAGCATTCTCAGATGGTATAATTTTTACCCCTTCCCCTCCCAAAGATTATTTAAAATTCTACTAAAATTAATAAGTGAGTTTAGCCAGGTCACAGAACATATGATTAACATACAAAAGTAAGTTGTATTTCTTAGCCATAGGTCTGACTTAAAAAAATTGCATTTCTCTGTATACTTGTAATTAAACAATTAGAAATTGACATTTAAAAAATATGACAATAGCATCAAAAAGGATGAATAATAAGGGATAAATCTAAGAAAATGTGTAAAATTTCTATATTGAAACCTATAAGACATTGGTGAGAGAAATGAAAGAAGACTTAATAAGTGGAGAAACATACCATGTTTATGGATTCAAAGACTCTTTTTAATGGGTAAATTTATCTCACATGTATCTATAGAATCTGTGCAATTTCAATCAAGATCTAAGCAGCTTTTTGAATGGAAATTGATAGGCATATTCTAAACTTTGTTTGGAAATTCAAAGGACCTGGTATAATAAGCAAAATGATTTTAAAACAGAAAAACAAGAAAGGCCTCACACTGTCTGATTTCAGTACTTATTCAGCTGCAGTATTCAAGACAGTGTTGTATTGGGAGTAAGGATAGATATATATAGATAAAGATAGTGCAGAAAGATGCCCACGTATATACAATTAAATGATCCCAACAAAGATGACAGAGTAATTTCATGAGGTAAAACATTGTTAGTAAATGGTACTGGAACATCCATATGCAGAAAATTGAAGCTAAAACCTATCTCCACCATATAAAGAAATTAACTTGAAATTTTACATAGACAAAAATGTAAAACCTAAAGCTATATAAATTTCTAGGGAAAATTCTTTGGGACCTTTGATAGTAAAACTTTCTTAGATAGGACATAAAAAGCATGAACTATTAAAAAATTGGAAAATTAGAGTTTATAAAAATTAAGACCTTGTGCTCTTCAAAAGATTCCTGCAAAAGCAAAAAAAAAAAAAAAAATAAATGAATAAAACCAGCCACAGATTGCGACAAAATATGTGTGAAGAATACATCTGATTAAGAATTTATATCCAGAATATATGAAGAACTTTCTTTTTTTTTTTTTTTTTTTTTTGAGACGGAGTCTCGCTGTGTCGCCCAGGCTGGAGTACAGTGGCCGGATCTCAGCTCGCCGCAAGCCCCACCTCCCGGGTTTACGCCATTCTCCTGCCTCAGCCTCCCGAGTAGCTGGGACTACAGGCGCCCGCCACCTCGCCCGGCTAGTTTTTTGTATTTTTTAGTAGAGACGGGGTTTCACCGTATTAGCCAGGATGGTCTCGATCTCCTGACCTCGTGATCCGCCCGTCTCGGCCTCCCAAAGTGCTGGGATTACAGGCTTGAGCCACCGCGCCCGGCCAGAACTTTCAAAACTAAAGAAAACAATTCATTTTTTTTAATTGGGCAAAAGATTTAAATATTTTAATAAAGAAGATATCCAGGTAGCAAATAAACACATGATATTCACCAAAATCATTAACTAGGAAAATGCAAATTAAGATGAATATCACTATATACCTACCCGAATGGCTATATTTTAAAAGTTTGACACTGCCAATTACTGGTAAAGATGCAAATCAGCGGTTACTTTCAAATGCTGCTGGTAGGAATGCAATATGGCACAGCCATTTGGCATTTTCTTATAAATTCAGACCCAGATTCATGAGAATGAGACCTGTGCAATTGAACAGGGTCTCATGCTCAAAGGAGTCCCATGCTCAGCTTAATATTCCACTGTTAGTATCTTGAAATTCTAATAATTTTATCTCTAAACCTGTGTTTTATAAATAAGCCTGTTGGAACACTGGAATATGAAATACGTCTGCCAGTACTTGCTGCCCTGTTTGCATGTAGTGTTGGAGATACCCCATGAACACAGAATTCCAAGAGACCCAGTGGTGCCTAGAAGTTTAATGAGACTCACAGCTAGCACAAGGTAAGCATGTTACAGCTAAGTCTGAGTAAACATAAATACTGATAACCTCTTGAGGGTATGTTTTTTATTTGAATGAGAGTTGTTTCTAATGCAAAAAGAAGACAATGGCATTCTAAGAAACACGAATGAGCAAGGAATCCTGTGATATCCTTTCTTATTCCCGTTGTTTCCTGGTATTACACAGCTGGTTTTGCTGAAAGTAATGACGCCATAAGTCAAAGGTAGAGAGTGTTGGTAGAATGTGTTAGTAGACTTGAAATTAAAAATTGAGTGAATTTTGTGTAGTGTGTCCACTGTTCTGGTAAGAATAAAATATATATGCATGTATGAACCACAAAATAAGAATTTTGTGATTTTGGTGATTCTACATAGGAGTTAAATGTACATGTTTCTATTTAAAGCTAGCATTATGCAATATAAAGACAAATGGCAAAATTCAGCCTAATAATTTAAAATTTTTCCTTCCTTAGAAAAAAATTTTAACTAGCAAATAAAAAATAAAAAACCATGACAAGCTGGAAAAAAGACTAAGGAAGAAAGGAAAGAGCTTTATATTTTATATTTTTAATGATACTTTTTTTCTGCTTTTTGAACAAGGGGCTCATTACATAATGCAGCTGACCCCGTATAAATTAAACATACATTTATCATAGACAAGTTAATCCAATTATTGGGCTTCTGTGTAAGGTTGTCAGGAGATAGCCAACCATATCTTTGGCAACCCAACAATTTTTAGCGTGAAGTCTTTTCTCTCCTTGATTTCTCTAAGAAGGAAACCTCCATTCATTCCTTTTCAGGAATGAATTAGTTTGCTTCTTGATTTTCCCAGCTACAGATACTTAACTTTTAACTTCCTCTGTTCAGCTGAGAAATCAGTTATTACTTGATCATATGCTTTCTGGTTTTTAACCTATTTTTGACAGTTCTCACTGTTGTTATTTTATCTCTAGTTCTCCTTTTCTTTAAGGTTCTAAATTTTTAAAAATTTATTTCCTGCCATCATTTTTGTGATGTTTGGGAAGGAGAATTGATAAGCTCATATAGGTGTTCTATTCACTATCTTTTACTGGAGATACACACACACACACACACACACACACACATATATATCCAGTAAATATATATATATACGTTTATCTATCCAGTAAAAAAAAAAAATCTATATTTAAATTTTGGATGTCATTGCAAAGATTTTAAAAATTAATTTTATTTTCTACAGATTCCTATCACTAAAAAAAAAAAAAACCCTAAGTATTTTATTAAGTATCTTTTATATAAAACAATACAACTTTACAAAATAAACAGGACAGGCCCACAGAGATAATAGAACCTGAAAGAAGGATCCATGTCTATAGGAAGAGTAGAGATTATGGCATCTTCTCAGCAGGGAATTCTGCGCACCCCACCTCCCTTAGTGGGTTAAAAACGCTGTCAGGTAACTGGTTATAACTGGAACTGAGTCTGTGGTAGAGATATAAAGTTGGGTGTCATTAACAACTGAAACTAATCAGATTCAATTCCACCCTGGCGTCTGCTTATCTCAAGACTCAAACTGGCCTGGGGCAACTAAAGACCCTCCTCCAACCTCTTGGTGACTCTTCTGCCCATCCCCCTTATTTCGTTAACTCATGTTTAGTTTTTCAGACTAAATGTCACCTACTCCAGGAAGTCTTTCCTGAAACCATTCTACTAAGCTAATTTAGGTGTTCTTCCTTACCTCAAGTTTTTATTTTCATAATAACTTCAGTTCTCAGGTTATAGGTATATTCTTTATCACTGTATTTACCATATTATAATTATTCATAAATATTTCAGGGATCAGCAAACTTTTCTTTGAGGTTTATAGTAAGTAAATATTTTAGAACTTGTAGGCCAAGAGGCAAAATCAAGGATATTCTGTAGGTACTTATATAACAAAAGAGAAAACAATTTCCCACAATTTTTTTTGGCAAAATTAAAAATATAATATTGAGTATTATTTTTATAATTCCAGTATACTAATCAGAAGAATGGAATTATTTCGGTGGGGATAACATTTTTCTTAATTGGGGTTGAAAGCTAGTGTTCCCTGTCATCACATTTATCTGTAATATTTACCTGTATATATTTAGCTGTAAAAATAAGTTTACCTGTACCTATTCATCTGTAAAAACCATTCTTAGGTCACAAGTCTTACAAAAACATGCAGTGTAGTTTGCTGAGCCTGGATCTATTTAACTATTTGTCTCTACCATATTTTGAGTTATGAGATTTGTTTTGGCTCTTAGTCATCTTTGAATTCCCAGGCAACACACTACCTGGCACATTATAGGTGCTAAGTAACTTTAAACAAGTTTTGTTTTGTTTTGTTTTAAGCAATGAAGAGATTTGAGTCTTGGATATCTCAGACTTTTATCTTGATGGATAGTACTTTGACTTTTTTTCTGAGCTGAAATAAACAGTTTTCGCCTTTTATTTTTGAAATTAAATACTTTATTTTTGTGGATTTAGGGGTACAAGTATAGTTGTGTTACATGGATATGTTGTGTAGTGGGGATATCTGGGCTTTTAGTGTATCCATCATCTGAAGAGTATGCATTGTACTGAACAGGTAGTATTTCATTCCTCACCCTTTCTCCCACCCACCTACCTTTTGGAATCCCCAATGTCTGTGACTCCATTCTGAATGTCCATGTGTACCTACTGTTTAGCTCTCACTTATAAGTGAGAACATGTGGTTTTTGATTTTCTGTTTCTGAGTCATTTCACTAAGGATAATGGTCTTCAGTTCCATCTATGTTGCTGCAAAAGACATGGTTTTATTCCTTTTTATAGCTGAGCATATTCTATGGTGTATATAATAGCACATTTTTTTTTAATCCCACAGGTAGGTAGGTTGATTCCATGACCTTGCTGTTGTGAATAGTGCTGTGATAAGCATACAAGTGCAGCTGTCTTTTTTAAAAAAATACGATTTAATTTTCTTTTGGTAGATACCCAGTACTGGAATTACTGGATCAAATGGTAGTTCTGTTTTCAGTTCTTTGAGAATTTTCTGTACTGTTTTTCATAGGAGCTGACTTAATTTACATTCCCACCAACAGTGTATAAGTGTTCCCTTTTCTCTGCATCCTCATCAACACCTGTTGTTTTTTGACTTTTAATAATAGTCATTCTGACTGGTATAAGGTGATACCTCATTGTGGTTTTAATATGCATTTCTTTGATGATTGGTGATGTTGAGCATATTTTCATGTTTATTGGCTGCTTGTATGTGTTTTTTTGATAAGTGTCTGTTCATATCCTCTGCCTACTTTTTAGTGGAGTTATTTTTTTTGTTGTTGAGTTGTTTGTATTCCTTGTAGATTCTGGATATTAGTCCTTTGTCAAATGCATTGTTTGTGAATATTTTCTCTGATTCTGTAGGTTGTCTGTTTACACTGTTGATTGTTTGTTTTGCTGTGCAGAAGCTTTTCAGTTTAATGAAGTCCCATTTGTCTATATTGTTGTTGTCGTTGTTGGATTTTCTTTTGAAGGCTTAGTCATAAATTGTTAGCCTAGACCAATGTCCAGAAGAGCTATTCCTAGGTTTTCTTTTGGATTTTTATAGTTTCAGGTGTTACATTTAAGTTTTTAATTCATCTTGAGTTAATTTTTGTATATGGTGAGAGAGAGCAGTCCAATTTCATTCTTCTGCATATTACTCTTTAATTATCCCAGCACCATTTAGTGAATGGAGTATGCTTTCCCCAGTGTATATTTATGTCAACTTCGTTGAAGACCTGTTGGTTGTAGGTGTGTGACTTTATTTCTGGGTTCTCTATTCCATCTCATTGATCCGTGTGTCTATTTTTATACTAGTACCACACTGTTTCGATTATTATAGCCTTGGTTATAGTATAATTTGAAATCAGGTGATGTGATACCTCCAGCTTTACTGTTTTTGCTTAGGATTGCTTTGGCTACTTGAGTGGTTTTTTTTTGGTTCCATATGAATTTTAGGATTATTTTTTCTAATTCTGTGAAGAATGACATTGGTAGTTTAAAGGGAATTGTGTTGAATCTGTAGATTGCTTTGGGCAGTATTAACGATTTGGTTCCTCTAATCCATGACCATGTGATATTTTTCCATTTGTTGGTGTTATCTATGATTTCTTTCAGCAGTGTTTTGTAGTTTTTCTTGTAGAGACTTTTCACCTCATTGGTTAAATATGTTCCTGTGTATTTGGTTTATTTGCAGCTATTGTAAATGGAATTGAGTTCTGACTTGGTTCTCAGCTTGATAATTATTGGTATATAGAAATGCTACTGATTTTTATGTGTTGATTTTATATCCTGTACCTTTATTGAAGTCGTTTGTCACATCTAGGAGTCTTTTGGAGGAGTCTTCAGGGTTCTCTATGTGTAAGATTATATCATCAGTGAACAGAGATATTTGACTGTCACTTTTTCAGTTTGGATGCCTTTTATTTCTCCCTCTTGCCTGATAGCTCTAGCTAGAACTTCCTGTCTTCTCATTTTTATTGCAAAGGTTTACTTTCTGTTATAATAATAATACTTTACATACATTTTAGGAGATGTTGACTATTTTTTCCTTTATGCTGTCTTCTTGAGCATCTAACCTTCCCTGAGAAAAAATAAATCACCTTGATATAAACTTCTTTACTGATCTAATTTCGTTCTATAATACATTTCTCTTTTAAATTTCTCCATATGTCAGTAGATCTATTAAGTATCAAATGAAATTCAAGATTTTAATAAGTAAATATTTATTTGTATAAATTTAAGGGGTACAAGTGCAGTTTTGTTACATAGATGTATTACATAGTGGTGAAGTCTGGGCTTTCAGTCATACCATTACCCAATTAGTAGGATTAAGTACTACTTTGACATTATGCACTACCTTTCCTTTAAGAATTTTCGGCCAGGCACGGTGGTTTACGCCTGTAATCCCAGAACTTTGGGAGGCTGAGGCGGGTGGATAACCTGAGGTTAGGAGTTCCAGAACAGCCTGACCAACATAGTGAAACCCCGTCTCTACTAAAAATACAAAATTAGCAAAGTGTGCTGGTGCATGCCTGTAATTCCAGCTATTTGGGAGGCTGAGGCAGGAGAATCGCTTGAACCAGGGAGGCAGAGGTTGCAGAACCAGGGAGGCAGAGGTTGCAGTGAGCTGAAATTGTGCCATTGTACTCCAGCCTGGGCCACAAGAGCGAAACTCCGTCTCAAAAAAAAAAAAAAAATAAATAAAGAAAAGAAAATTTAGAACTAATATTTCATACTGAGTTTTCAAGTATGAAAAATTATACTTTTGAGTAAGATTTTTATGTACAGTATACAATCTAGGTAATTTTAAAATGCAGTCTTGAAAGATGTACACCAAACCGAATATGATTACCATGGTTTTTTGTTTTTGTTTTGAGACAGTCTCATTCTTCC